ACAAACCTAAGTTTTGACAACAATAGCATAGGCTGGATCAGTGGTTCTCAAGTTGGGGGTAATTACCTCCAAGGAGGTAAAATGGCATTTTACGGGGGTAAATATAAGCACGAAAATCGGCTCATTAAGCTGTTGCCAAAGAAAATTAATGGCAAAATCATGTGTGTCAAATCATGCAACTAACTACCTACCCACTATTTGAAGCAATTGGTTCCCCGCAGTAAGTGGAAAATGGCAGTGAAAAGACGATAGCCGGCCGATGCATGCACTTCGTACCGTCACGTCTGTGCCGAAAACAGTAACTTGGAATCCCGTATAACGATTAGGTGGTGCCAACAAGCATGAAAATAAACAATACGAGAAACAACGGATGTCGTGCCACTCTGTCCAGGGTCACCTACGGTTGATCAACAATTGGTTTTGGACGCAAAGCCCCGGTTTACTCCGGTTATTGCCAAAGCCCCAAAGTGGTATGAGGTAAAAGCATTTTGAATGCTGTGCTTACCTCGATCAGATGCCACTAGGTCAATAAGTGCCTGGCGATCGAATATGCCGGTGGCTTGTGTGCACTGGTACTCTGACTTGGGGCCGTTTGTTTTCTTATCTCGCACTGAACCCATTTCGACACGTGTTCCTTCATTCGGGAACTCAGGATCCTATCGGCATTGGTACAAACGGTGAGAGTTGGCCTCGATAGACAGTTTCCTTTAGTGGAGGTAGCGGCAGTTTGTGAGTTTGGTCGTTGATAGCAACTGCGGCTACACCAAAAGTGCTCTGTGGGGCAGAGACCAGACGGCTTGTAGTCCTCATTTTAGTTATGCTATCTTTAAAAGGCAACTCTAAGAATTGTAACGCGGTAGCAATATGCAGCCCATTTGGCCCCATTCTAGGGGCTTTCATTATGTTGATGGTAGAGCGAGGGGTATCCAATAGAGCGGTAGCTAATGCAACTAGTGACGCTGTTAAATGCACCTCAACTTGAAAGTCACCCGCAAGGTTGAACAGCAGTACTGCCTTCCCTATTTAGACATTCTCATTAGCCGCAGAACAAATGAACGAGTTGACAGATCTGTCTACCGGAAAGAAACGTGGTCCGGTCAGTACTTGTATTTCACCAATTTCCCGCCAATGCGGTACATGTCATGCTGTCATTTTTGCTGAGCTGGATTTGCGAATAAACCGTTTGCTTCTGAAGCACCGAGTTGTGACAGAAAGAGTACCCAAATAGGCTAAAGACTAATGGAGCTAAGCCATATCAAGAGTTCGTTGATGTGTATCACTTCTTGCTCAAAAATAATTTTTGTGCGACTGATAATTTAAAGCAAAAGGTGCAATAGTTAAAGGTGATCGAATTTTTAAACCAAAAATGTTTTTGTGGTATCTGTTAACCCACTTTGTGGGTATAAGACACAAAATAGTTGAGAACCGCTGGGCTAGCTGGTGTTGCCAAAAAATCCCTAAACTAGTGGAAGATGAACGCGAGAGGTAGGTGCGTGCACCTTGCGTCCACTGTTTGGGCTAGGCCTAGTTGATTCCTGGGACGCGGTTAATGAACAGGGAATCGCATGTGGGAGAGAGTGCAACCTCTGACACAATCCTGCCCGGCAGATCGAGTTCAATCAAGACAAATCTGTTCACTTCCCCTTCAATGTACGTGACACTAGCCATTAGCGACGCTGCGAAAGCTCCACCATAGCTGTGGCTTCTCTATTCACAGTGTCGGTTGGGCGGAGAAGATAAACTGCTGCCATTTTAGATAGTTTCTTCTAAAAAGAAATCATCCGAGAATGTCAAAGTCTTCTTTCTTAGATGTACTGTACGAAACGGCCGCAGTTTTGGCGCATACAAATGTGTCTAAGAATTTAGCTGCTAATGACCAAGGGTTTATAGAAGTTTCACCGTTATGCTGGGAGCTGCACGCGTTGAATATGCTTTGGATGCATTCTTCGGAATTGCAGGCGATTTAGCTACGGTCATCTTGCTTCCATGCACATTCCCCTAAGCGCAGCCTCGACTAGCTAATCTTACAGAAATCCCTTCCGGACAAAAGCGAGGAAAAAGGGGTGCGACTTATAGGAACGACAGAAAAATAATGCATTAATTGATAACAGCCCATAAAAACGTAATTTTCAACAGAAAAACAAGTAAAATGATTGCACTTTAAATGATGCGCTTTATAGAATATGGATGGCAGGTCGAGGTGTGGATGAGAGGATTGTCCTGTTCTCCGAGCAGGGCATTTCCGTTGCAGACGTTTCGTTACCAAACTAGGAAACATCTTCAGTGCGGCTATTCAGTCCTGATTCGTGGAGTCCCGCAAATCGATGACAGATCCGAAGGACTATTGATTGTTACCTGCTTCGAATGTCAGCCTTCCATTGGTTCACGTGAGTCGATCGAGTGAGCACTTCTTCTCCTTGTCGACCTGGTGCTTATTGCTGGCTAAACTTGTAGAACTCTGTAGACAAGCTCTACCTCCATGTGTTTGTGGACTGATTTCCGGCCAGAATGTCCGGCCTCGATGAACCCCCGCGTTCTGCAGTTCCTTGCTCTTTCAAGTATTTCAATGTTCTCCAGATCGAACTGAATCAACGCTTACCACATCAAACATCCCAACATGTAACTAAACACAGTATCATCCCACCTCTGAGTCATAAAGTGGAAACCAACATATTCAGCGTAAGCGAACGAAAGACACTGACAAACCTCAGAAAAGACAAAACTATTGTTATATTACCGGCCGGCAAGGGACGTCTTACTGTAGTAATGGACTAAAGTGACTACATGAAGAAAGCACAAGAACTGCTCGCACATGTGAACACCTACTAGCGGATAAGTGAAGACCCTACAAAACGTCTTCAAAGAAAGATCAACAAAACTCTTCAAATACTGGAACAAATGGGACAGACCACGAAGTTATAACACAGCAAGATGAAACCCGAGGATTCAGGGCTAACACGGTTGTACGGCCTACCCAAATTACACAAAATGGGGTACCGCTTCGCCCTATCGTGCCATTACCCAGGGCACAAATTACAAACTGTCTAAGGAACTTTGGAAACGGTTGAAACATATAAGCGTTGGCTCAGAGTACTCAATCCAGTCCTTGAAAAACTTGAAGGAATAACAATAGAAAGAGACGAGCTAATGCGACGAGCTAGTCGCAGCTTTGTTCACATCAATTGACACGACGCTGGAGAGGCAAACAATGAGGACTCTGCGTGACCAACACGGAGCGGTAAATACCACCAACAGAATTGAAGCCACACAAATGATGGAGTTGCTTGACTTCAATCTCACCATACATTTCCCTTTCAATGAACAAATGTACAAAATGATAACGGGTACGCCAATGGGATCGCCAATCTCTGAACTGGTAGCAGAGGCAGTGATGCAAGCCAATAGTGGAGCCCAAACTTCGGGTACGTTACGTAGACGATACATTTGTCATCGTCAAACACTCCAGACTTCAAGAAACATACCAACTAATCAATACTGATTTTTCGTCATCCATTTCAACAAAGAGGAAGAGAACAACAATCAGTTGCCATTCTTGGACCTGCTTGTGAGAAGACGTACTTCTGGGTCACTGGAAACAACAGTTTGTCGGAAAGGGACGCACATCGATCAGATCTTAAACTATCGCAGTAACTATCGGACCGTACACAAGCGAATTTGAGTGAAGACGCATTTTAAACGAACCCAGACACACTGTAGCACGCCGCGACTGAGGAAAGCGGAAGAGGACCATCTATTTAGCATGTTTCAGCGAAATACGCACCTTACAGACTTTGTTCTACGCTGCCTGAAGTCGAAGAGTCAGTCACAACCCGCGTCCACCTGTGCAACAGAAAGCATAACGGTTATCCTACCTTACATCCATGGGATTTCTGAAATGGCAGCAAGGCTTCTAATGCCTTACGGGATAACTGTTGCATACGAAACATCGGAAATCATTCGAAGCAAACTTTTTAAGGTAAAGGACAAACTGAGTAAGGAAGGAACATCAGGTGTAGTTTACAAAATTTCCTGCAAGTACTGCGACAAGTACTATGTAAGTCAGACTTGCAGCAAACTTGGTACAAGATTGCACGAACATAGTCTGGCCACCCGCCGACACGATGAAAATCCTTAATGTCAGTACACATGGATGCGGAGGATAATCAGTTCGATCTGGAGAGGACTGAAATACTTGGAAGAGTAAGGAACTGCAGAAAGCGGGGGTTCATCGAGGCCGGACATTCTGGCCACAAATCAGTCCACAAACACGTGGAGATACAGCTTGTCTACAAAGCTCTACAGGTTTAGTCAGCAATAAGCACCATGTCGACAAGAAGAGGTGATCACTTAATCGACTCACGTGAACCAATGGAAGGCTGACAATCGAAGCAGGTAACAATCAATAGTCCTTCGGATAAGTCATTGATTTGCGGGACTCCACGAATCAGGAGTGAATAGCCGCACTGAAGATGTTTCCTAGTTTGGTAACGAAACGTCTGCAACAGAAATGCCCGGATCGGAGAACAGGACAATCCTCTCTTACATGGCACGGTTTTGAACTCCTACCCGCTGTGTCGAACGTTACTTGCGAACCTCAGTGATCCAGAAGGGGAAAAGGCGTACATCATCCACCAAAACATCTCAGGTTACACACCCAACTGCCGCTGACTGTACCTGGTGGGTTCGAATAAGAACGAAACCGGTCAGTCGTGGAGTGCATTAATGGGCGTGAGCAACATCAAATTCTCTCGACTTCAGGTATGCCCCTATTGGTTGGAACGAGTAAGGTTGATTTTAACGTAAGCACAAGTCCCAAGAAAGATTGTGTGTAGCAATCCAAACACTAGATTAGTGCTCCAAAACCCGATATTAAGTATAAAACCCAGTTATGACAAAAAAGCAATTTACCCTTTAAATGCTATGAGTGCCAGCTGTGATTGATCATCGGAATAGAAGTGCTTAACAGAGTAACTTCAGTATACTTTCGTTTTGTGACTTACTTCTCTCCGTCTCGTGGCTTTAGTTAATCCCCGCGGAAACGGTTGCGTAGGCCTGGTGAGCATGTCCTGCTCACCTCAGTGAGAGATAAACATTATCTGACTTGGACGAAAATCACTAAGCCATGTTAATCCGACTTGTGTCAAGGTGACATTGTGATAAAAGCGGAAACAGCTGCACACGGTCAGCCTAAGTTTCGCACTTAGCGCCCCAGTCGCAACACCTGAGATCACAGTTCGAGTGATTCTCCGCTCATTCGCGCATGTCAGAATGGCGTTTGTGAGCACGTGACGCCGTCATAAAGACTGCGCGATAATGCGCGTCTCGCGATCGATGCGTACCCTGCAAGCAATGGGCTGCGCACATGGAACTCACACATTCGCCAAATCACACCGGACTGTTTCCACTTATTTTAGCATACATTAGCTACTGGATGTAGTCTTCAAACAAAAGAGCTACTTGGGTGGTGCACGCGATGCGAACAGGTGCAATGAGTTGGCCAGTGGCCAGTGGTCAGTTGCGACTTACTTGTCCAAAAATTTTAACAATGTGTTTCAGCAGCTATCGATCAGACACCATTTCCAGGTAACAAAAACCTTACCTTGGCTAGATTTCAAGTTGCTTATGAGTATCTGAGGCAACTAAGCTAATGAGTGCATCCCGAGCTGTGCGCTGTTCCTCAGCCTGCGATCCTGCTACTCATTAAGCTGTTCCAGGCTCATGTGCTGAACTGAGGGGCAAATTGCTGACTACCGGCTTTACTGGTAACCACGAAGAACGCTCACAAGGATTGCTACAAAGCGCATCGCGCGCTTCGCAAAAGAAGAACATTAGGAAGGACTGGTACGGAATGGTGGTCTAAATTCTCTCTGGCTGCCTCCATGGGTACTTGCGCTCTCGGCAATTTGCATGTGCTTCCTCTAATTCTCACCTGATGTGAATGCTCCTCCCTACGGATCTAAGGTGTCCAACTCTGACACTAGTACCACTGAGCTGTGTCCGGGTCCAAAAAACTCTGATTAATGACATTTCTGTCAAGCAGCCTTTAGCCATGGGTCACGCATATGATATGCGGGCTCAAATTTCCATTGCAGTGATGCGCGACGGAAACCTGGATACCGCGAGTGCTTTTGTTCGCTACGTGCGTGTAATACTCCCAGACACTATTCTTATGATGATTTAGCCAAGCCACTGGTTAGGTACACGTTCTTGACTATAGTGAGCAGACGCCCCAATACTTCGTGTTCTGGTTCCATGCATGCAATGATGCAAATTGATGACTCATTTTGATGACTGTATAGCAAAACCCCCCTTTTGTAGCTACTTTGCATAGAATGTCGAACTAAAACTGCTTAGTAGAATAGATGACCGTGTATTGTACTTCTGTGTGTCAATTGTTTATTTTACTACGCCTTATTTGGTGGAATAGCTCTGGGGCCTTCGGATCCTCGATGATATTTCTCCGAAAACACAGCAATACTTCGAAAATTTCATTTACCTGGCATCAAGTGCTCTGGGAGCTGTTTTTCGCATGGAGTCTGCACATACAGCGAGGCGGTGAATTTTGATTCATTCGGTATCTCAGTCGCTTCCTTCATACCATTCGTTACTGATAGCCACTTTGGACAAAGCTAAATAGTTATCAACAAAAAGTTTGCGCGTAGGTTTCGAGCCTTTCAAAGTTCCATCACTTGCACTGTGCACAGAGAATAAGATTGCTCAAGGTTTTCAGCGCACAATATAGTTTTTCGCGTTGTGACCTCATTCTGTTCGGTTAGATTGCAAGCAACCCAAACCACGTGCGCCGCCGCCGGTTGAAACGCAGTTACACTAGCCGCTTAAGGTTCATCATCCCAGTGGAAAATAAATACATTCGCTAGAAGAACACTCGGAACGTTTCTACATGTTTGGATTACCATCCTAGAATGTTGCTTCTGTCCCTACATTGGCAGCTTTTAAAAACCGTGTCGACAAAGCACTTGCTTCTACACACAAATTCAAATGGCTCACATAAAAATGTTTGAAATTTTCTGGCCGATAAAATCTTGCTGGGGGAGTTCACTGGTATTTTTAATTACTAATTCCCAGTTGACCACTTGGCGAAACATGCACGCGTTTGATCCTTTAATTTGACAAGCCATTAACTACTAAGATTTAACATGGTCAGAGGTGCGAGTACTGCTGCTCAATCCCAACACACCGGAGCATCTACTAAGTACTTTTCCAGATATTGATGATTGTGTGTGTTACACGATATCATGACGAACTTCACCTGCTAATTTAATTCATTCACTCTATCCATCAGAAATAATATTCTAACTAGTTAGCCATAAATGCTACGCCAATTACCTTCTGGTTCATTTGGCCCGTCGAAGCTTTCGTGTCGAAAGAGAAGAAGTTGCCTTCCAACTATACCATCCGATTGTTTGTAAACTCTTTTGGGAGCATGGATTTTCCATCGGTTCCAAGCATATTTCAAGATGTCATCATCATTACACACGTTAGCTGCAGGTAGTAAGCACCTCAGCTATTAAGCCACAATTTAACAGGAAAGAAAAGACATGAGTCAGAAGCACGCCGGCTGAGTCACAAGTACCGGATGGATACCGTTCCGGAGAACTAACAGCCAGTTGTTGTTCCGCAGAATTGAGTTACATTATGCCTATTAAATGTTTGGACAGGAGGCTAAGCTGGGGAGTGAGGGGTAAAGAAACTCACAGCACAAACGCCACCGATGTCGGCTCCTAGCCATGTCAACACATGTATACATCCAAATGTGTTTTTCGTCCTTCCGTCCCCAACCATGGAGCCGAGAGGCTCAAAGTAAAGTCAACTTCAAAGTAAAGGCCTTCATTCCTCTTGACCAAGTCATCGCTTGGCCACCCCTCCTCTTCTTCCACACCCCCGGCGCGCAAACAACGCACCTTGCGGGATTCGGTGAGCTGGCATGTGCAACACATGGCCCAGCCATCGGATCCTGGTGCTTGAAATACCGGTGTTCAACACCGGAACACGCACATTGCTCAGACGGTGTTCCCACTAGATATGAGCCAAACTGCGAAGGCACCGGTGGTCGAACGCAACTAGCCACTTTATTTCGTCTGATTTAATGACCCAGGCTTCACAACCGTACAGTGGAGTCGAACGTACGGCTGCATTGTACGCTTTACCCTTTAATGAGAGAGTGATGTCACGCCGACGCCATTGGTAGCGAAAGTTAGCAAAAGCGCCTCGGGCTTTTACTATACGGTTCGTGACCACGACTTCAATTCCCACGCCGCTGACACGACTATCTATGTAGTTGAACTTTTGAACGAGTTTTAGCTGATCCCCACCAACGGTCTGCAAAGGATGCGGTCCCTGCCAATCTTGGAGGAAAGCTTTGCACTTGAGGGGGCAAAGCATAGCCCGAAAGGATTGACAGCCGTTGCTAATCTGTCCAGTGCCGTTTGGCAAGTTTGGGAGCTGTCACAGATGACGGCAACCTCGTCAGGATAAAGGTTGAATATTCTAACCGAACTGTTATTATTTTAAGGTATTCATCCCAGTAGTTCACAAGCTACGTAGCATAGCCTAGTCCGGAAAAGCACCAGATGCGTTTCACCTTATTGCTACTCATCAGTGGTGCGCACTCCCTCGGTCCCGTAATGGGGATCGAATCTATGACCGCTAGAGACAGATGCCAACTAGCCAACAGTTAAGCCACTGAGCCATGTGGTCCGTTGGCTGGGCTACTTAATTTGCAAGCTAACTGGGATATAGCACCACCTTTCTTCCACTGTCACTGATGATGGCTATCTTGCGAAGTGATGACGTCCTCTCAGTAGAAGCCACGTCCATGGCATTTGAAACTAAGAAAGGCTATTTATTTTATATTACTCGTAAGTAGGAGCAATTTCGTTGTTACTTTTAAGGTATTAATCCAACAAGCCGTTTAACTGGGAATCACCCACTGTGTGCTTCCATGTCAGTCAGCAGGGTGTGGCGTCAGTCAAGTGACAGGTCGATTTAGATGGCGGGTTGTTCAGGGCCGGTCAAATTGGATGGCTTCACCTGGTCGTGTCAGGACGACTAGATGTGGAATAGGGTACCCGTGTGGCCTCACATGAAAGCGGCGGTGGCGGCCTGCTTAGTAGTTTGAGGGGAATTTTCATGGAAACCGCGGGAGATAAACGTTTATCCCGAAATAATGTCGTACCATTGACACAGGAAGGAAAAGAAAGAGAAACTGTGGTTGCACCAGTAAACGGTGACTGCAAGCTTGGTCAGTATTCTGTGACTATTCTGTGATATATGAGGTAGTATTTACTGCACTTACGAGGCCGGAAATATTTCGCGTCAAGATCTATGTCTGTCAGTGCAAAAATTGTGCAGCCCGTCAGTCTGACGCGCCGAACTCGAGGAGATGAATACCCTAGGGAGATGGCGCACCAATCCGACTCTGAACATCCCTGGCTTAACTGCGAATTTCCAAATAGCGGTAGTCATCATGATTGATAGAATGGAAGCGCGGCACGATTGCTTCTCCTGCTACTGGGAGGTCGAAGTGCACCACATTTCTGACTTCAATCTTACCAAACGCAGCTGCGTTCATTCGGGAACTTATGCATTCACTCTGAAATAGGATGTGAAGTCCCGTCCGAGTTTGTTACAGTGAACGCCTATTCACTGTCTGCACTAAATGGTCCGATCCGGATTGGACATGCCGCTAATGATTTCGAATCATACTCGCGGTCTCATGTATTACACTTTCCCTGCGACACAGCAATCAGCATTCCGCCTAGATTTTCGATGACAAGAGAATCATGTCGATCCAAGTCAATAAAATGTTTCGGGGCGAATTTACTGCATGGAAAGTTTTACTTCTTGTAATAGAAACATCCAGTCGCAGCACTGTGGAACAAATGCACACACACTTGATTATCCGACTCTGATAGCGAAATTGCGAACCTGACGCTGCTTCCTTTATTGGTGGTAGAAAAGTCTCTCAATCGGCATGACGGAACCCTCACTCCCAGGATAGCCCAGGATAGCGTGCAGTATAGGTTTACTTTTGGGCTGATTGCGGCTGGTTTGACACAATTGTTAAGTGGAAAGCTATAAGGCTGAATTGTTAGATTTCTCGTCTTCGCTAAGTGGATGAGGATCACCCACTGACAAGCTGCAGATTGTAGCTAGTGCGGCCCAACCAATACACTCCTGCCGCCACTGTGCCTGTCGGTTAGGAGAAATAGACAACTAAATCGAAGCCAGATAGGCTATC